GTAATTTATAAAACAGGCTGTCAATATCTTATGCCTGAAAGAAGAGAAAGAGAGAGGGAGGAGGCAGGAGGAGGCTATGAGCCATGCTGAGGAATTGGTGTCCAGACTGAGGCACACTTTGGCAGCCAGCTATGGAGGGTAGATTCAGTGTGTGAGTCTGAAGGGTGTTGGCCAAGCAGCAAAGGACTCATCTCCAGAGGCTCCCTGCGGTCACAGACACAGGGGGAGAGGTGTGGTGTGCTTCACATCCTCGATAATGGCTATTCTATTCTGTCCCCTGGCCCAGAAGTTCGAAGAAGGGGCTGGCATTACGTCTCCTATCTATGCTTTTGTGGCACCTGGCGCAACAGTAGATGCTCAGTCAGTGTGCATAGAAGGAGGAAGTGGCATGGCCTCTTCACATCGTGCCATGCAAAGGTCTGGGTGGCAAAGCACAGCCCTCTTTTTTTTTTTTAAATTGTGGTAAGAATATAACATGAGATCTACCCTCTTAAATTTTTAAGTATACCATGCAGCATTGTTAACTAGGCACCTGTACGGCAGGTCTCTAAAACTTGCCTATTTTGTTTAAGTGAAACTTTATGCATGTTGATTAGCAACCCCCCACTTCCCCTCCCTCCAACCCCTCTTAGATTCTATGAATTTGTCTGCAGGCAGACCTTGTTTCATTGCACACTTCACTTTATTTGTGCTTCACTGATGTTGCTTTTTTTTTTTTTTTTTTTTTTTTTTTTTTACAAATTGAAGGCAAGACCCTCCACCAGCAAACATGCCACAACTCGCTTTATTGTGGTGTTCTGGAACCACCCCTGCAATATCTCTGAGGCGTGCCTGTATTTTAGATACCTCATACAAGTGGAATCAAGCAGTCCTTCTGTGAATGGCTGATCTCCCTTAGGGTAACAGCCCTCTATGTAAAGCCAACCATCCTTACTAGTGATGCATTGGGGATGGCCTCCCATTTGTGTGACCTGAAAAAAATTTTAAGCATAGCAGCTAACATTTACTGAATGATTACTGTGAATAAGAAACTATCTAGGGCTAGGACTTTACCCTTTTTTTTCTTTTTTTTTAATATGATGGATAGTTTCAAACACATACTAAGTAGAAAGAGCAGTATGATGATGGCCAGGAACCTGTGTCCCAGCTACAACAGCTATCAGTAATAAGGCCAGTCTTGGTTCATCTGAACCCCTACCCATTTTCCCACCACTGCGGATTATTTTGAAGAAAATTCAGACATCATATCAATTCATCTGTAAATTCTTCAATATGTATTTCAGAAAATAACTTTAAAAAATAACCATAATCATTTATAACACAAAATAATTGCTTAACAGCAACAGATACCTACCGAGTGTTCAAATGTTGCCTGTTGCCTCCAATTTTCAGTTTGTTTAATTAGGATCCAAAAAAGGTACATACATTGCATATGGTTGGTTTGCATCCTGTCTCTTTAATTGGTAAGATTCTACTTCACCCACCTTTATCCTTTCAACTTATTTGGTGAAGAAACCAGATTGTTTGCCTCCAGGAGTAGCCCAAAGTCTGGGATTTGCATCCCCATAGTGCCATTAATGTGTTCCTCTGTTGCCTATACCTCCTGTAAACTGTTTTTGGGCAATAATTCTTCTTTTTTGTAATATTAAGATTAATCAAGGCTTTAGGTTCCATCAGCCTAATCCATCCATTATAAAGTGTCCCATCAGCCTGTTACAAAACTGCTGTCTTAGCAGTCACTAGCCTGGGAACTTAAAGTGGTGAGACCTGAATTCTGTCTTCCCTGTACATTTGTTTGTTGAAATTCTAAAAAGAATTTGCTACTACCTGTTTGGTTACTTGGAAGAGTCTGTACAGGAAAAGCTGATTGACCCCGACCTTGACCAAACCTTCAACTCCCTATTCTTACCTTAGTTAGGCCTCCCTCCCCAGCTACTGCCATGATCCACCACTTCACCTTCTCTTGCCATCTTAAACTCCCTCACCTCCACCCATTTCTGAGAGCCCTAGCCCTTGAATCTGGCCATTCTTTCATGTGGGACATAGTCGTAGTGTGCCAGTAAATATTTAACAATTGGCTCTGGAGTGGGGGCTAATTTGTAGCATCTGCTCATTTCCATGGTGTAACTATTCCCACTGAGATCAATTTCAAGCTACCAAAGAGACATCAGCTAGTTTGCAAAGTTCTTTGGAAATTTAACAATCAGTTCTTGTGAGCCAGCGCAAGCCAGTGTCTAGCTGAGCACTTGCTAAAGAGAAATCACACTTGTCATAGGCAGGCTTCCTCCTCAGGGCAGCCTCAGAGTGGCCCCAGAAGTCCTGCATGTCCCCTGTTGGCTCTGAATCTCTCTCAACCCTTTTCTGCCCTAAGGGTCTCACTCTATCTGTTGCTGCTCAGCCCTCTCTGTCTTCACCTCTCCTCTGCATACACACAGCATGTAGATGTGTCTTGAACTTCCCCCAAAAAAATGATTTGCCCTCAATCCTGTGGCTCCTTCACCCTCACCCCCTCCCCATCTTCTCACTATAATCTTTCCTGCTTTTTACCTACTTGCAAGAATATCCTGTGCTGCTTAACTTCTTTTAAAAATATTTTTATATTAATCTTAATCGTAAATGTCAGAGCTGGGCCCTGGCCAGTCTGGCGCAGCTGGTTGGGCGTCATCCTGTGCACTGAGGAGTTGCTGGTTCAATTCTGGTCAGGTTACATGCTGGGGTTGTGAGCTCAGTCCCAGGCAGGGGGCATGCAGGAGACAGCCAATCAATATTTCACTTTCACATTGATGTTTCTATCTCTCTCTCCCTCTCCTTTCCTTTCTCTCTAAAAATCAATAAAATCTTAAAAAACAAAGTAAGTGTCAGAGCTGGGACTGGAACCCAAGCACTCTGGCCCCAGAGTCCTTGTTACTTCCTGCCGGGGTCAGAGGTCAGGCTAGGGCCAGGGTTCAGGTCAGTTGGCAGTCATGATTTAAGCTTTAAATCTCACTGAACCCCTCGGCCCCTGCACTCATCCCCCAGGCTCACTTTCATGCTCCCTTACGCCCCAGATCCTGGCCACAATGGTGTCCTGAGCATTGCCACGGGACAAGGCCACTTCCTGTGTGACTTGATCCTCTCACAGATCTCAGAAGACCCCGAGAGTCCTTGAACCCACCCCTCAAGAGAAAGTTTCTGAGGCCCTGCTGAGCCCTGCCTTACCCTGCTTCATGAGCTTTATGCCCACCAAAAGGTCTCCTGCGAATGCTGGAGGGTTTGTCTGACCCACCCAACAGGGTCCTGGGCCCCTGAGAGCTGGTGTTAGGGCCTCATGGGCAATGCCTAGCAGCTCAGTGCTGGGACTCCTGGACAGAGTGCCCACTACCTGGGGACCTTCTCTCCTCTGGCATAAGCACTGATCTGCTCAGGCCCATGAGCCATCGGTCAGCCCAGCTCCTGAGCTGAGAGGCTCATGCCCTGATCAGGGTCCAGTTCAGCTGAGCACAAGAGCCATTTGGCAGGGACTTCAGCCTTGGGCACCCAGAGCTTGGGATATGGCTACTCCAAGGCCACAGATCAGGAAATAATGAGTTAAGAAGAGACAACAAAGAGTAGAAAGAAGGAGGAGAAATAGGGAAGGTGGAAAGGGAGCAAAGGGGAGGGAAGAGTTGAAGGGAAATGGGTGGAGCCCAGTGTAGGACTCAGGACAGGTCTGTGACTCATCTTCTTCCCTTGGACCCCACCAGGTGGCCTCCGTGGCTCTAGGAGCTGCCCCCACCCCCACTAAGGTGTAGGGGAAGGGAAGACTGGTGCAGCCTGATATTTCCTAGTTGGCTACAAGTTATGAGCAAGGCTGGCTGTGAATTCTGACATTGCGCCAAGAAAGAACGAGTTCCCCCTGGTGAGGCCAAAACAATGCCGTTAATCACACAGTCTGCCCCTTGGCTTCGGAGCTGTCACTCCTCAATGAGGCTTGGCCACATTGGTCACCACCAGCCTTAACTGGCCTCTCAGCCTCAACTCCTGGGCCTGGCCATTCCTGTTCCTCGGGAGAGGGGACTAGACTGTGATGATCCAGACTGCAAATACACACACCCCTAACCTCACAAGCTGCTACCTCAGTTTCCCCAAAATGTGTAGGCCAGAATGGCCCAGCCAACATGCCAGAGAGTGAGCTCACCTGCTGACAAGGAAGAGGCCCTGCCACTTCTGACCAGCGATGTCTGCCTGCCTTGCACCATCCTGTCTGTTGAGTAGGGAGAAGTGGACACAGATATGCGTACTCATGCCCTGCCTTTCCCAGCAGTCGGCAGAAGAATTGGTCCAGTGACAAAGACGTAATCCCACCATTGTAGGTTGGGAAGCAAGCAAAATGGCTTGAAGATAAGTCCTTGGGTGTCTTAGATCCGGTCCCTAGATGCAGAGCCTGAGAAGGGGGTTCTTATGCAAGTGATGGACTGAGGGAGGGTCTCAGGAGGCACCTGCAAGTAAGGAAGTAGGCTAGGGCAGGAAAGAGCTAACCCAGGATATGGTCTCAAAGTCTGGCCTCAGCCTGGTCCTACCAGAGCCCTGGAGCAAGATTGGCAGCACAGAATTGTACCACCTGGAGGCCAGGGAGCTGGCTTTTCCTATCCCATATCAGTTTGTCCCTGGCTGTGAGCTGCCCCTTGGTGTGGAGGTGTCATCTCCCAGTTGAAGCAGCTCTCATTGGCCGAGGACAATTCTCCAGAGAAGGAAGTACTATGAGCTTTAGCATCCACCACTCAGTGTCTGAGGGCTGATGCACCTGGGCGAGGCACCAACAGCATCTACTTCAAACCTGAGGGGTGACTTTTGAGCAAAGACTTGAAGGAGGGGAAGGAGATGGCCAAGCAGCTCTGTGGCTCCTCCTAGATGGTGGGGGTCTGTTTGGTACTCTTTCTTGAGAAGTAGCTCCCCCAAACAGCCCAGCTCTTATGAGTGTCCTATGTGGCAGGTCCCATGGGGCACGTTAGATGCCACACAGAAGGCTAACAAATGCCACCTAGCCTGCTGGAGGCAGAATTAAGAGGTGCTCAAGGAACACACAGTCCAGAAACTACTATCCCAGGGCAGGGGGGTTAATCACAGAAACACTCCTAGAGAAGGTGGTTCTAGGCCCGAGTTGAAGAAGGGGAGTACTCACTATGGAGAGAGAAGGAGGGCCATCCTGGCCAGGCCAGCATGCGAAAGCCCAGAGGTGGGGATGAGGCAGCTAGTGTTTATGGTTCTTCCAGAATCCCTGGAAGAACAAGAGAAGTTCTATTTCTATCTTTACAAGATGCTACAGGAAGACCAAGTGCTTTAGGGCTAGATTGATTCAAGTTCAGAACTTGACCCTATCCCTTGCCCTCTGGAGATAACTAGAATCTTCCTGCAAGGTGGATGCCAGTGCCATGAGAGTTAAATGAGAAGTACAGCCTGGCCAGTGTGGCTCAGCAGTTGAACATCAACCTGTAAACCAAGAGGTCACGGTTCAGTTCCCGGTCAGGGCACATGGCTGGGTTGGGCATTGATCCCCAGTGTGGGGTATGCAGAGGCAGCCGATTAATGATTCTCTTTCATCATTGATGTTTCTCTCTCTCCCCCTCTCCCTTCCTCTCTGAACTGTGAACTGTGGGGACAAAGCTGATGGACACAGTGAAGAGTAACTCAAATAGTACAGGAGAAGGTGATGTGTGCTGTGAAAAACAATAGAGCCGGTTGAGGAGGTGGAGAGCACAGGGCTATAGGGAGGACACTGTAATTTTAAGTGGAAAGTCAGAGAGATCTCACTGCCTTTACAAGACTCTTCTAAGGGAACTCTTACATTTAGCAGTGGGGACATAACGAGGAAGCAGCAAAGGAAATTGACACAGAGTCAAAAATCCAAGAGAGTGGCACCTGGAAGCCATGTGAGATGACAAGTGTCCAGGATGTACAGGATAAGTGTCTTCAGGGTGGAGACCTGTGTGAGTTGGGACTGTGGGGCAAGGTGGTAGAGTGAAAAGTAGGTAGGGAAGAGGAGACAGGTGTGGATGGAAAGAGTGGAGAGAATGAGGGTGCAGCTGTGACAGAGACAAGCTCACGGGGGACTGGTGGCTCAAGAGCACCACAGCACAAGTAGGTGATGAGCCTTGAGTGAGAGGAGTGACTCCTTTCTGACCAAGGGGAAGAGAGAGGAGGAAAGTTTGAGCGCGTCCCCAACTTCTTTAGCTTCTGTTTTCCCTGTGAAACAGGAAGTGAGGTCAAGTGCTCTGGAGAAGGTGAAGGGGCAACCGCAAGGCTTGCAGAAAAGAGTCAAGGCTCAAAGGAGCTAGTGCAGCAATAGGGGAGAGCTGGCTGAGGACAGTGGCGAGACTGCTGGAAATAAAGGACGTTACACTGAGGTCGAGACCTTAAGTGTGTTTAGGGTGAATCGCTCCAGAGTTAGGATCTGGCTGGAGAAGACATGGATGTGGGAGCATTGCAAGAGAGTTGGAGTCTCAGCCAAGCCAAGAAGGAAGCAAACAGAAAGAGCTGATGGGAGAAACCAAGGGGCGGGCAGCTCAAAGTACAGATGAGAGAGGGGGGAGGGAAGCTGCAGTCAGCAGTGGAAATGGGTTCTAAGTGAAGAAATAAAATGCTCAGACATGTTTGAAAAGAATCCCCCAGCTGCTGTGGAGAACAGGGTTATGGGGCAGGAGTCCACTTGAAAGGGCACTGCATGCGGTAGCTGGGACTGATGGTGCTGGGACCAGGGTGATTACGGGATGGTGCACAGTGGGGGGATTCTGGGACTGATAGGAGTTGGCAATGATGGGATGTCGGGTGCAATAGAGAGGCGTCAGAATGTATTGAGCCTCTACGATATGCCAAGCATGGTGTGGGGAGCTTACCATTTAAGGTTAAGATAGACAGGAAACTGATAGCTACCTGCGGTGTTCTTGGCATTTAGAAGTGAGTAGATATGCTGGGGTGGGGGCAGTGGTGAGGAGGAGGGAGTCCAACTAAACCCTACTGGCTTGGGAGGGAGTGCAGGGGAAGGCTTCCAAGAGGAGGTGCCATTGGAGCTGGCACTACCAGGTGGCGGAAAGAAGAAGGGCATCCAGAATGACCACGTGCAAAAGCCCAAAGGCAAGACTGAGGAGCCCGCTATGGCCAGAGGGCAGTGAGAAGTCAGTGTGGCCACTTACCTAATGCACGTAAAGACAGAAGTAAGACTGCAGAGAGAAGCAGGAACCACAGGAGGAAAGGGAGCTAGGGGGCGATGCTGGGCTCCTGGATGGAGAGGTGGGAAGGTGAGGGAGGGCATGCCATGTGAGCCTCTGGCTCCAATGACGGCTGCCAAGATGAGTTAGCACAGCTGGGCTTCATGCTTGCAAGGAAGGCTGTGGGCAAAGTGGGGAGTGGGAGAGAGAGCCAGAAAAGGGGGCTGCCAGGCACTGAGAGAGTGGCCTTGTCTCAGAGTCCCCAGCTGTCCATTGAGGTTTTCCTGTATCTGAGCTACAGGTGCTGGCAAAGGTGTGTGCTGGGCAGCTGGAGAGGAGTGAGGAGGCAAGACAGGGGAGTCAGCTGGTCAACCTGAGTAGCCATAACTCAAGAGTAGCTGGGGGAGGAGAAAGCTGGGAGTGGCTGAGAAGCACTTGTCCACTGATGTCCCCACAGCAGGGCAGCAGGGCAGCAGGGCAGGGACAATGCTGACAATACCTCTGGGCAGAGGTGGGTGTGAGACTCTGCCTTCTATGAAGGAAACAGGAAATGTCTCTTGGGAGTTACTGCTTGTGGAAGCTGGCGCCCAAGGCACAGATGTCTTTTTTTCAGGCAAGATGTCTACACACAGTGGGCAGAGAGCAAACAAAGTTGTGGCAGATGCTGTCGGTGCCTCATCCATCTCCCTAGACCTAGACCTTCAGTGCACTAGTAGGCTAACTTCCACCCCAGCACCTGCCTTCGTCTCTCTGCCTGGGGGCTTTCTCTGCCCACCAGAATCCCCCTTGCCCACCCACACAGTAGGCAGGAAGTATGGAATAACTATGGGAGTGGGTGTATAGATACTTCATCCCAGGGGAGGGGGTAACTCTGAGGTTCCTGTTCTCCACTGGCTCCCAAAGCTCCCAGGCTTTTATTGGCTTTCTTGTCTTTTCTCTCGTATTTCCCACTCCACTACCCAGGATTCACTTACCTCCCAAATAACAACTTGTCTTGGGGGGGCCTGCTTCTGGGGGAGCCTAAAGTAGGATGTCAGCAGGACACAGTAGGAAAAACGGAGGCTGCAAGGCTGTTTGAATCCCAGCTCCTTTTATGTAAGGAATCCGCAGCTGGCGGCAGGCTCCTGTACAGGTTGGTTGAGAATAAATTAGCATGTGAATGTTTACAACAAGGCCCATGGCCACACAGTATGCCATGTCGCCTACTAATCCGAATCAAAACCACACTGATAACAATGCCCTTTGGCCAGCTTCAGACTCCTTGCTGAAAGCATAGTCCACCGATTTGTCATCCTGGGCTAAATATAAAAAATTGTGGCCTGAGTCAGAACGTTATTTTCAGCACTCTGTCTTACTCTCAGCCATTGAGGGATGCTGTTCCGAGGGCTGCTTTCCTGGAGGCTGAGGGCAACCCTGATGGACCCCATGTTCCAAAGACAACTATCCAACTCCTCTCCCAGGGGATAGTGTCTCCTTAACACACCCTGACCGATGTCCCAGCCTCCCCCAAACATACCAGGTCGAGGCTTCTGTTTCTGGCCACTCTCCAGAGCTGGGAAGTGGGTGCCTTCCAGGTCTGAGGTCTCCTCTCTCAAAAGCCACAGAAATAGGGAAAGGGGGCATGAGTAACAGAAGTATTTATTAAGAACTTGTTAAGTGCTAGACCCTGAAATTTATGAATCTTCACAAAACCCCTGCCAGACAAGTATTATTTTTAAAAAATATATTTTTATTGATTTCAGAGAGGAAGGAAGAGGGAGAGAAAGATAGAAACATCAATGATGAGAGAGAATCATTGATTGGCTGTCTCTTGCATACCCCACACTGGGGATCGTGCCTGCAACCCGGACATGTGCCCTGACCAGGACTCGAACCATGACCTCCTGGTTCATAGGTCGACACTCAACCACTGAGCCATGCCGGCCGAGCCAGAGAAATATTATTGACTGTATTTCACAGAAAGGGAAAGTGAGACTTAGCCAAATAACTGACTCAGGGCTACTTAACCAAGGTTTGAATGGCCTATGCCGCACAATGCTGCGTACTCTTCCTCTTCCCCCACGGTGTCTCTAAGCACCCGCAATTCTCTAAATGGGGGTGGGTGACATGCAAGTGCCCCACATTCAAGAGGAGAACATAGTGCCCTGCCCCAGTAGGGGACCCTGCTCTTATTTCTTTGGGGGGAAGGGGAAGATCGAGCAGGTCTCACGATTTGTCAAGGCCCCCTACCCTGGCTGCTCAGCCTCTTAGGCACCTGCAGCTTCTGCCCAGAATGGGACACTCCTGCCACCTACCCTCTGCCCCTGCTGCTGCTGAGGATGAGTGAGGCTGAGAGAGTGGCCTTCGCCCCCTGGATCATGCCTTTACGCTTTGTTGGGTGCTTCTCAGAGACATGATAGAGACGCCAGGTGACAGGTTTATGAGAGGATCTTCCTGGCATAGCTCAGACCCTAGAGCTCCACCCCCTTTTGCCTGGCACTGCTCCCCGAAAGCCATCCCAGAAGCCTTCCCTGACCATGCCCACTGGGACAGCCCACTGTCCTGCATTCCGACAACCATGGACATTGTTTATTGAGGTTTGATTCTAGGCCCTGTCTCTCACCTGCTTAAAAATATCCATGGCTCCTCACTACCCACAAAATAAAAGCCGAACTTCCCAGAATTTAAGGCCCTTCTGTCCCAAGTTTTCTGAGTGCATCATACACAACACTCCCAGGCCCCAGACTTGTTACCCTCTTGTCCTTTCTACTCCCACACCATCTGCCCTTCCTATCCTGGCTGGCTCCTGCCCGTTCTCTGAGATCCCACCTGCGTTCCCAAGATATTGGGTCCACATTGCTAACAAGGGAGCAGGGCCATGTTTGAAGGGAGCTCAGCGCAGTGCCTGGCATGGGGCAAGCCTTGCTCAACGCTGGTCAGGAGTTCGTACCCTTTTTGTGCTAGGGACTATGTAAGAGCCCTTCTCAGAGTCACCCTTTCAACTGCACTAAATAAAATACAAAGGTCTGCCAGTGAGGCAGATTTCATTGAACCCTTTGCCAAAATATTTTCAAGTGAAATTTATGATATAGTAATAAATGTGCTTCTACGTTAAGGCACGAAATGAGATCTAGAGGGGTGTTCCAGTGATCATCATCTCCAATAGTGAGGCACATAGACAGTATTTCAGAACATCTGCAACAACTGAACGTGACAGAAAAATATCTACAGGACCTGGTAATATTAGGTTGAGCCTTAGGAAACCGCCAATGTTGCACCAGTTTCGAGCTACAAAAACTGTAATTTCATATGGTTTTGCCCAATTCTACTCCGGTTTGTTGCCTACCCTCATCATTAAGGGAAATGCTCACTTTCCGGTATTGTGAGTAAAACTAAGGATGACTCTTTTCCCCCATTTAAGTTCATGGACCCCCTGGAGTTATATCAGGGACCCCCTTGGGGAGAAGTAGTTTGAGAGCCCCGAGTTCAGTGGTTCTCAACCTTCCTAATGCCGCGACCCTTTAGTACAGTTCCTCATGTTGTGGTGACCCCCCAACCATAAAATTATTTTCATTGCTATTTCATAACTGTAATTTTGCTACTGTTATGAATCGTAATGTAAATATCTGATATGCAGGATGTATTTAGGCGACCCCTGTGAAAGGGTCGTTCGACCCCAAAGGGGTCGCGACCCACAGGTTGAGAACCGCTCAGCCAGGGCCCCTGGAGGTCGGGGAGGGTCGCCCCTTACCGTCCAGGGGCCGCCTGGACCTCCCTCCTCCTGGAGCATCTAACCCACGTGAGTCTCTGCTCCCCACAGGTTCCCTGTTCCCGGAGCTGAAGCCCTCGGAGAGCGTCTTCAAGGTCATCTTCTGGCTCGGCTACTTCAACAGCTGCGTGAATCCGCTCATCTACCCCTGCTCCAGCCGCGAGTTCAAGCGCGCCTTCCTCCGCCTCCTGCGCTGCCAGTGCCGGCGCCGCCGGCGCCGCCGCCCCCTCTGGCGGGTCTACGGCCACCACTGGCGGGTCTCAACCGGCGGGCCGCGCCCCGACTGCACCCCCAGCCCGGGTGCTGCGCTCCCCGGGGCCCCCCTGGCCCTCGCCGAGCTCGCGGCCCCAGGCTCTCCGGGCACACCCGAGGCGCAGGCTGGCGTCGCCGGCCGCGCAAAGCCGTGCGCTTTCCGCGAGTGGAGGCTGCCCGGGCCGTTCCGGAGACCCACCACCCAGCTGCGGGCCAAGGTCTCCAGCCTGTCGCACAAGATCCGCGCCGGGAGCGCCCTGCGCGCGGAGGTGGAGGCTGTGTCCCTTGGCGTCCCCCACAACGTCGTGGAGGGCGCCACCTGTCAGCCCTACGAACTGGCGGACAGCGACGACCTCCGGGAGACTGATATTTAAGCACCCCCAGAGCTAGGCCTGGGTCGGGGCGGGGGGTGCTAGGGGAGGTGGATAAGGTGGGGTGAGGGCGAGGATGTGAGGAGCGGCTAGCTTTGTTCAAGAGGCCCGTGGATCAGGGATCCGAAACTGATCAGGGCAGCTGCTCTCCAGCGGCCCTGAGGAAGGGAGGCGGAGCGGTGCCCTGGAGTGGGTGGAAGGTGATGGGCCCCCACTAGACACAGATGCCTGAGCTCCTCCTTTCCGAGGGAGGTGGTGCGGACCTGGGTGGGGGGCCATTTGCTCCCAACCCCTATTTGAGAAACACTGCCCCATCCATGCCTTGAACTCTGGGTAGACAGCCCCAAGTCTGGCCAGGCAGGCCTGTCCCTCCTCTCGGGGAGAAAGGGGCAGGGAGGGCCTGCATGGCCACCCCACTGCCTCCCTAGGAAAACGTCATTGGGACACAGTTTCTCCTTACTGCCGCCTGGAGGAACCTGGAGACCTGTCACCGCCACCCGCAAGCTTTGGTGGCAGAGGGATGACTGTTTTTACAAGCCTGTTGTATTTACCCGTGGACCCTGCCGGTACTCCTCCTTGCACACCGCATCACCTGCCCCTGCCCCCCCGTACCCCCCCCCCAAGGGCCTTACTGTTTACACTCTGTACATAGCTCCTGTGCCTGTGCCCATCACCTCCCGCTGGGATCCGGAGCTGTCACATGGGGAGAGCTTTATTTGTCATTTTGAGACATATTTATTGGCAAGAGTACTTCTATTTTGTCCAAACCGTGCAAACTGTCCCTCCTTAGCTTATAACCTATAAAGAACTACTTTTTTTTCTTTTCTAGAATTCTTCAAGTACGAAAGGCCCACAACAGGATAGACTGGGTATTCGTGCACCTTTCTAGTTTCAACTTAACTGGCTCTTTAACGGCCCCTTTGGGACTTGTAGCATAACCAAAGGCCTCTGGAGGAGGAGGAGGTTTTAAATTCACACGCCTAGTCTTGGGAAACAAAACAGTAATCATAAACACAAATCTCCGCGTTGCCAGTCTCCCCAGATGTACCTGTGATGCAGTCATCAGTTAAGTGGGTGGAACGTTACAAGAAAAAATATACAAGCCCAAGTAGACAGGTGTGCATGCTGAGTGAGAGAACACCTACCCGGGAACCATGCTTGGCACCCCAAGAGGGCCCCACTTTGCAGCACTTTGGCCACCCTACAGCTGGGGTCACTGGGGGACAGCCCTTATGGTCTCACAGGGGTGGGGGCTGTTGGTCAAACCAGGGGTCCAGAATCAGACGATTGAACACTGGGCTCCTGGGCAGGGGTCCCTAGCAGGGGAGGGTCCCCGCACAGGGTGAACACTGGTTCCCACATGTCAGGGCAGGTAAGCCACCGGAGGTCAAGAGTGGGGACCAGGGAGCAAGGTGGGGAGGGAGTCTTCATCAGGAGGGTTTTTAGTGGGGGAGGGAGCCTCCTTGTCCCCATAACAGTGGACATGGAGGTAGGCAGTGTGGGCAGCTTGGCCAGTACTTTCTGTCGGCACGATGATCAGCAAAACATGTCCAATGTTCAAGCCTCAGCCATCTCCGCTCTGCACCAGCTGCCTCCTCCTGTACCCCCCATACCAGGTACCCAGCCTTCAGGAGATGGGGGAGAGGCCCCAGAGAGGCTGTGCTTCAACAGGGGCATCCAGGGACCCCGTTCTGATCATCAATAAAGCACTGAGCCGCTGCCCTTGGTCTCAGGACATGCCAGAAAGTTGTAAAGTGGCCAAGAGGAACGGAGGGAGTAGCGCCAGCCCTTCTGGAGGAGGGAGCCTCTTGCCAGTGATTTGGGAGCATTTGGAAGAAGTGCATTCACTGCACCATTTCCTGAGACCTCAGGTGCCCTAGCTCCCTCCCACCCGCAGCCTGGCCCACACAACTCATTAAAGACTGTCCCTGTCGTGCCTATAAAAAGGGGCCATTGTCCCTTTTTTATCACCTTGAAATGCCAAGGTGATTAGGGAAATAGGGAAGACTCAGAACCCATCAAAATGGGAGTAAGAGTTCCTTTGCACAATCCTCAAGAAATGAGGGAGTTTGTTAGTGAGAAGGGCATGGTCCTGTGAGATGTGACAGGGGAAAAAGCAAGTCTCCAAAGACACTGGCATTTGTCCAATGACCTACCCTCCCCCACCTCCTTAGAAAGCCTCACTCCTGTTCCCACCCAAAACCTCTAGCTCCAGTCCACCCTCCCTCTCAAGCTGGGCTCTTACCACCCATCTTGCCTTG